TGATTGCTTTAAGCATCATTTTGCCAACAAAGGCAGAAAAGTAGTCGTTTAAAACCTGTGGATGCTTCATAGCATTCACACCACAAGTAAACACGCGTTGAGACGTAAAACGATAATTGTAGAGTGAAATTGCACTAGTTATTTTATTATGATTAATTGCACTGCACTTGTATAATTCTGTTAAACTGAAGTCAGATTATGATTGTTTCATTCATTTTTTTGGAAACTTTGATATAAAGAGTCAAAGTTTGCTTTTTAGCTCTGTTTCGTCGTTATGTACATTGCATGAGTAAAAAGTGTGACTCGTTAAAGAGTTATAAAAATGGGACCCTTTTGAAGAATATGGTTTACCTAACAATTGTTAATTTGTAAACACTTTGACAAAGCAGAGCAAGGGAACAGAGTGGTTAGACTCGTAGAAAAAATGACTATGCTTTAATTTGCACTTTGGTATCTTTGAATTGATCATATCAAATCATACACCCCTAGAATAGAAACTTCATTTTTCTAAACCGTCATAATCATAAATTAATTACTATTTTGAAATTTTCATAACGCTTTTTTGAAAGATTGTATACTATATGGCCAAGTTAATTTCCCCATACATAGTTGACTTGTCTATATTCTACGTGTTACAAGTTTGACATACACAACCCTTGCCATTGCTAAGAACCATTATAAATATGGAGCTAGTTCTATAGATTGATAAACCACACCCATCTTCTCAAGAAGAAATATAAACACTAGAGCTAGCTAGCTAAGTGAAACTTCTTTTGTAGAGGATTTTGCCAATGGCTCCTTCAATTTTTTCTAGATTAACCATGATTATGAGTATGGCTCTCTTTGTCCTCGTCATAGTGGAGAGTGCCAATGCACAACTTTCTACAAACTTTTACTCAACTTCTTGTCCTAAACTATCGTCTACGGTAAAATCCTCAATGCAATCCGCTATATCAAAGGAGACCAGAATTGGTGCTTCTATTCTTCGTTTGTTCTTTCACGATTGTTTTGTAAATGTAAGTATTTTTACATATATCTCTGATATCGTATATCATTTTCAACTTAGTTGTTTTTAAAAAAAAGTGTATAACGTGAAAAATATTATTAATACAAAAATCATTATTAATTAAGAAGATTAATGACCTCATATATATGTCGATTTAAATTTCATCGTATAAGGATACAAAAATAAATTTCTATCAATAAACTACACCTCATGAACAAAAATGGATAATTTATATAATATACGTATTGCAATTACAGGGATGCGATGGGTCAATTCTACTTGATGACACGTCAAACTTTACGGGGGAGAAAAATGCATTCCCAAACAGAAACTCTGCTCGCGGATTTGAAGTCATTGATAATATAAAGACAGCAGTAGAGAACGTATGTCCCGATGTTGTATCTTGTGCTGATATTCTTGCCATTGCTGCCGCAGACTCTGTCGCGATTGTAAGTGTAGTTAAATATCAATGAATTAACTAAACAATCAAAATCTAGTTAGCGGTGATAACAATGCAAATGTAAATACCTAATCAACTATTGCATTGTTTTTATTCTTAATCATAGCTTGGAGGCCCAACATGGAATGTAAAACTTGGAAGAAGAGACGCTAAAACTGCTAGTCAATCTGCTGCTAACACAGGAATCCCAGCACCCACTTCAAGCCTCAACCAACTTAAATCAAGGTTCAATGCTCTTGGCCTTTCCACCAAAGACTTAGTCGCATTGTCAGGTGCGCACACAATTGGACAAGCGAGGTGCACAAACTTTAGGGCAAGAATCTACAATGAGACAAACATAGATACTTCATTTGCTAGCACGAGACAAACAAATTGCCCAAAGACATCTGGATCAGGAGACAACAATTTGGCACCCTTAGATCTTCAAACTCCAACTTCCTTCGATAACAACTACTTCAAGAACCTTGTTCAAAAGAAGGGTCTTCTCCATTCTGATCAACAACTTTTCAATGGTGGATCCACCAACTCCATAGTGAGTGGCTATAACACTAATCCAAGCTCCTTTTCCTCTGATTTTGCCGCTGCTATGATCAAAATGGGAGATATTAGTCCTCTTACTGGATCTAATGGGGAGATCAGGAAGAATTGTAGAAGAAAAAATTAATTATTTTGTCCTAGTTTTGAGGGTCATAGCAATATAGGCATACAAAGTTGTGTTTCAAATATATGTGTGTGTGCAATAAGTTGTTAAACACTGTCAAACGAAATACGTTGTTGAACATGTTTTGATTATGTGTGTTTCTGAGAATTGTATGTCGTCTTATCTAGTTTTGTTTTAGTTTTGTTTCTTCTTTTATAAAGTCATAGAAATAATTTCTTTTATTATTAGTCTCAAGAAACAATATTATTTTTGAGATTTAAAGGTTACTTGTGATTTTCATTTATAAAGAAGTTTGGGTTTTATCATTTAATTATCATCATCATTCAAATGTATTTCCTATTTTCGCACTAATTTTCTAACACCATATATGACACCAACTGCCAATAATCAGTGAGATGTGTTGGCGTTAGCTGTCAACAAGAATGTAGGAACTAGAATAGGAATATAATTATTAATTGATAATTACCCTGATTTGGTTATAATTATCCTGATTTAGTTATAATTAGAAATAGGGATTTCTATGTATATATATAGTACCTAGTTTCCTGTATAAGAGACAATTGAAATATATGAAAGTGATATCTCAGTTTTAACATGGTATCAGAGCTAGGTCTTAATCCAGACCTACGGTAACACTTTCATCCTTCTTCCATGGTGTTTACAGTGATTTCTGGTAAACAACTGCTAGTCCTCCAAACTATCAAATAATCTTAATGACTGTTATTTAATCTCTCTGGTAACTTGCAGGATCGACTATATTGATCCTATGGGGTATTGGTCGTTTGGATAAATCTAATTGCAAAACTGATATTCATAGTTAGGATTTGTATTTATAATGTTTTATAGACGTTCAATTCACTTCTATTACCATGTTAAAAGAATCTAATGACATGATCAAGTAAAGAAATACGAAACTGAATTGAATGAATAAAGATTCGATTGCAAAGAAATGTTTAAATGCAAAAATAAGTAAATGACTTTGAATGTAAAGACTTTAATGTAAAAAGCATGAATATAAAAGCATGAAATGTAAAAGAGTTTCTGAAAGGTAAAGGATTCGAATAGAAGAAAAGCGTTTAAATGCAAGAAATAAGTAAATGACTTTGAATGTAAAGGTATTTGAATGACATTGACATGAAAATGGAAGATAAACTGGAAAAGATAAAGAGTTTTACTGAATTATAAATGTTTGGTGTTATCATACGTACATTGTTCGAGCATTCGTTTCCCTATCCATGTGGTATTTTGAATGTTTACTGAATTTTGTACAATAGATATGACACACCCGAAATCCTAACACTAAGACTTCTATTTATACTACTTTGACCATAACGGTCTTGCTTATAAGATTCTGCCACGTTCGGAACATGCAGAGCACTGCTCCTCTCTAGCTTCCACGCGTCTTCGAACGCTCCAGCGCATATATATTTGAATTCCAACATCCCGCTCGCGTTTGAATTTCAAATGTCTTGGCAATCTTCGCTTCGAACTCATTTCACAGACACAGTCTCATTACCACTTCGAGGCTTCTTTTAAATATATCTTCACAACTGTCAGTCGAAGCTCCGAGCTTTGACATGTCCGTTCGAAGAATCGCTTCTACCATTCCAACTGTAACATTTTGCTTTATTCCAACGAAACATCCATATTGCTTCATTTCGAACGGTATCATCAAAATCTTCAGCCAACAAAATGCCCCTTTAAAATATGTATTTTGATCCTTTGAGAAACACTTATTTTAAATATATTTGCAAGATTTTGATGTGACTTTTGAGTAATCATAACATTTACTGTGTATGACTTCAACCACGTCAATCCGACGCCTCTTGGATTTCTTAACCGTCTTGAATCAGCATTCACAGCATAGTGCGGTTATAAAACAATGATTATTATTAATCACGCTTATTACCAATATTAGCCTTTACGCCACCTCCTCCTCAATCCAACCCACGACTCCCACGTATCCTAGTCTCACTTAGTGGATGTTTAAGCTTCCACACTATAAAAACTAATCAACTTAGTCTTTTATTCTTTTTTCACATTCTGAAACTTTTTCTTCCTCTCCTCTTACTAAAACCCTAAAACTTCCAACAATCTTCAACAATGTCTTCAACAACATCATCCCAACTGAAGAAAACTTCCAAGAAGAAAAGCAAGAACGCAGGAACAATTATGGAAAGCAAGGTCGGTACTTATCAAGGTCAATCTGTGCTTATCCCTCAAATGATCTCCAAGGAAAAGGAAATGCTCTACGCCTCTCAGGTATTGATTCCAACTAACGCTGCTGGAAAGAGGTTTTCTCTAATGGGTCCTCTTACAGTTTTTGAAATCTTGAAAGATACTAGAAAAATCTTCCCTGTCTGTTACAACTTTAAACCCTTGTTTAATAAGATGGATATCCCTAAGATAGGCGAGTCTTCTGATTCGAAAACCATAGAAACTACAACTGTTCTCTCAAAAGATCCCTTTGTGTTAGACTACGTGAAGAGCAACTTTAAACCATTCCGATCTTGCCCTACCTCTGACATAGCTTACCAAAACCGGCTCACCAAAGTAGAAGCCAAGAAATCCCAGCAATGGGAGGAATTAGGAATCTATAATCTGATTAAGTTATCGAAACCAGGCTTCACCTATAGTCATCCACTGTTATTTGCATCCTTATATTTCTGGGACAGCACCTACAACACCTTTCATCTCCCTGGGGGAATGATAACACCCACGTTTTTCGATATAGCAGCCATCACTGGTTTGTCACCAGTAGGAGAAACCTACATCCTTGATAATGAAGAACACTCCAGCATTATTGACTTCGATGTCAAATTAGCCAGTTTTTCCAAATTCAATAGCCATTACCACACTGAAGGAGATAGTGTGTCAGATGTGGAACATATTTCTTTTCTCACTTTATGGTTATCAAGATACGTATTCTGTAGCAGGTCCTTACAGGTAGCAAGCAGGTTCATCCCTTTAGCTAGAGACTTACATGAGAATATGAGGGTATGTTTGAGTGAACTGTTACTTGTTGATCTTTACGAAAGCTTAAGATCAGCCGTTTTGAGTTTGAAATCCCATACTCCCAAAAACATCCTTCTAGCTGGCCCCTTATGGTTACTCCAATTATGGCTTAATGCCATGTTTGAATCCTCATTATCAACTGTTGACACCGTTGTTGAACAAGATCCGGAGATAGCGGATAGAATTATTGAAGGTACAAGGCTGTGAAAACTCACCCCGAATGATGATAAAGATGACTTCAAGGTCCGTTTCTCAAACTACATCATGATTTTTTCCAAAAGACACAAATTTGAAGAGACCATGGCACCCTTTGCTTCAAGGACTCATGGACCATCATGGTTCACCATGTCTCTTTCAAAAGCAGTTAAAAGTAAAGAAATTCAAGATATTTGGAAAGCCTTTTTGCTTCCTAGATTAATTTCCTCACGAATCACTCCTTCCAAGAATCAAATCTTCCTCTTTGCCTATCAACCTAACTTTGTTTCCAGACAATTTGGCCTGTGTCAGTTAATCCCTGAACCTCTGTTCCAAACACAGAGTGCCATCACTTCTGGTCGAACCTTTAAAGTAAGAGAAGCCAAACTGCAACAAGAACAATATCAAGACTTTGCTCAATTCGAACTACTACCTTTTGAACCCACACACTTCACATCGAAGGGTTTTCTGGAATGGTGGACTAAGTTATACCAATCTTATATGTTCGATACCCTCTCCATTCAACAGAAACTAACTGATGTGTTCGATGTGCAGGTACACTCCAAGAAAGGTATGTTCACTCACGCCAAAGAGATTAGGGCTTTTCAGAACTATTTCGAAACAACTTATGATCCTACACGCTTGGAAACCACTGTGTATCGAGCATCCCAGATGATCCGCTGTCGCGCGCGGGTCAAAAACGAGTTAAATTGCAAAACTGTAGTAACGACGGTAACGGTAACTCGTGTATCGTCTCTCAAGGACTCTTGGGTTTTACTAAATAAAAACGAAATTGGGGGGGTTTGGTTTGGTCGAAAAATGATTATCAAAAGTGATTATGAAAATAAGTTGTTTTGAAAAAGTGATTATGAAAATAAGTCAATCTACCGATTCAGTTCCTACCAATCATCGATTATTAAAATCTCACTATCCTAAGCGGATTCCTTTCCCGTTCGATTACAATATAATCAACAAGCGCAACAATATTATACGAATTATATTTTTCGTTTGCCGAATTAAGCATCCGGTTAAGCGATAAACGGTTTAACGATTAAGCATACGATAAACACGCAGATAAATTGAAAAACATAGATCAATCGAACCAAACAATATATATTACGAATATCAAATTAAGCAAAAGATAAACAAAATATATAATTGAAGGAAAAGGAATTTTATTGCAAAACTTATAATAATCTCATAGTTTTGGAACCTGAATTCGGTAGATCAACCAAAAGTGATTAGTTCTCCATGGCCATTCGTACAAGCTTACAATCAAAATCGTCAATGGAAGATTGATGCTACAGTGCCGCGGCTGCTACCCTAAGGGGAAAGAGTACAACCCGTTTTACAATCCAACTGGGTCAAACATACGACCCAGACCCAAAACTAATTGACCCGAAACTTAACTAAAATTAGTGCTGCAACTTCAACGAATTTTCTGGCCCTTCTACATTCCGATTCTGACTTCGACTCCAACATAAGAATTGTAGCTCTTTCTCTTAGCTTTCCGTCGATTATTAGAACGCCTCAATCGGACTTCTGAAACTCCAGTTATGATCGTTTCCGTGCAGACTGCTAAAGCTGAAAATTAAATACGAAAATCAAATAACAATAAAAATAAATTAAAATATAAAAACATTATAAAATACAAAAATAAGACAAGCAAACCATGGAAATGTATAAGTACAACCGTAGAGTAATGTGCATCAAAATGAACTGATCAAATTCCCCCACACTTGAACTTTTGCACTCCGAGCAAAATGAAAAACAAAATAAAGAAAGCACAAATA